GGTGCTTCGGCGATGCCGTTCAACAGTGCCACTCCCCCCGCGAGCGAGGTGTTCGACGAAATGGCCGGAAGGTATGTGTCTTCGGTCTTGGCGATTTCCTTTCATTTCCGCCATTATTCTCGATAGCTCGTGACTTGTTATCGTTCGCTATAGCGGTGGTTCGAACAATGCAACAACCGAGTTCGTGAACTTGTTGGACACGAACACGGTTGACATTGATCAAGCCCCTTTCGAGCCGTTCGACTACAATGAAACGGAGGGCGGCGTGGATGATCATTGTTGTGCGGACGGATTGGAGGAGATCGAAGCGGAAGCGTATGAGCAATCGCAAGAAAAATCTGGGAAAAGCCAAAGATCGAAGAACTACACGATCTTGGAAAGATCAAGCTTTGATTCAAGCATGGAGTGCGGTGTCTTTTGATGCATGCACGGGCATTTCTCAAACTTCCAAGAGATATTGGCAAAGAATCGAAGATCAATACTTCCGCATTATGGCAAAGCATCCCAATAGGACTCCACGCACATTTCGGTCGCTTCAAGGGCGTTGGGAGAACATCAAGCCTATGTGCAGCTTGCTTGGAGCAAGTACGCAATGCACCTTCAAGTGGCACCGTGGAGTCCGACTATGTGAGTTTGTTTTGCTTTTGTTCAAATTGTGCATCATCATATTGCATCATGGGAAATGATTGGATCACTTTGTTCACATTGTGTAGGACAAGATTGCTCAACATAGATACAAGGACATGGAAGCTTCGGAAGGCAGATTTTTCAAACTAGAGCATTGTTGGGAGTTGCTCCAAAAGTGCGAGAAGTGGAAGTTGATCGATAAAGAATCCCCACCAAAGAGAGGCTCACTTACAAACATGGATGAAGATGAGGATGATGATGGCCCAAGAAATTTGCACAAGCCCGATGGCGACAAAAAGACTAAGGAGAAGATCAAGAGAGAGTAAGAAGCATCGAGCTTGAGGGAGAAGATTGACGCCATGGTGCAATCCAACGAGTCGATGTTGTTGAAGTCGTTGGAGATCAAGAAAGAATTGGCCGAGAAGAAGGCGAAGGAGAAGCAAGAAGAGTGGCAATTGCTTAAGGAAGAGGGGCTGCGCAAAGCTGCCATCGAGGAGAGAAGAGCACGCGCCGCTGAAAACAAATCCATGTCCATGTTGCTCGCCGAAGAGAACAAGATCATGTCAATGAACCGCAATGACATGGACGACCTCACCAAAACATGGCATGATATGGCAAGGAAAGAAATCTTGAAGAGGAGAATGGTCGCGTCGGCCGGTCCGTGTTACAGTTTCGGTGATGTTTTCTCTGCTCCATATGGTGGCAATGTGGATGATTTCAGTGCGGGAATTGGGACAAGCGCCGGAGGTGGATTCGGTGGCGCCGATGAACTTCAAGATGGACTCGATGGCGCGGAGTGAAGATCGACCAAGATGATGCCGGACATGGGCACAAACCTTTGCAGGGCCCTCTTTTGCGTTTGCCGTAATGAACTTGGCTTTTATTTGCGCGTAAAACTGTTTATGTCGTTTGAATTTGAACTTGTTTGTGAAACCCTATGTCAAATGCGAGATTTGCTGTTTTTCTGTTTGCGGGTCGTCGCGGTGGTGCCTGAATAGAACCCGCAGAAGCCGACCCGTAAAAAGGCATATTCCATGAATATTTTTTTTACGGATCCATTTGGAGGGTTTGCATCTGTGCCAGCCCGCACGGCACGCAAAAGCGGTTTTGCGCAAATTGCAAACGTGTTTTGCAGACCGACAGGATGCGGGGTCTACTAGAGTTGCTCTAAACTGGGTGGATGCAAGTCGCGCCATGGAGTATCCTGTGAACGGTGGGTTTGACTGCACTGGCGCGGCGCTAGCGTTCAAAGACCGGCACATGACAAAGGTGAGACAAGACGATACTGACGGTAAGACGGGCAATTTTCCCCTAAAAAGGGCCAAATGAATTTTACCAGTTTAGCTCTACCATATGGCAATAGCAAGTAATACTGTGATGCAGGTAGAGAAATGGAAGAATACAAGCATAAATCACAAGCTTACATTGCACAGTACTAGGATGTCTTGATGTAATTTATAGTATTACACAACAATTTTGAAAACATACTGTAAACCATAGGTCTATTACTGAAGCTACCATCTAAGAGAACTCGTAGGCTCATAGCGGATATTTTACCATCAGTGCATAACACCATCTGCTCGGACAAACTACAAAAAAACGCTAGCTGGCTGGTAGGGTAACGACAATAGGGAGTCAATTGACAAGAAGCATTATTAAAAACAAATGAACTAAACCACTACTTCCTTCAATCCATTATAAGGTTGTGTTTGGAGTCCCTCCGCTCCCGGAGCAGGCAGAGTTGCAGTTGAAAATCGCGGAGCACTTGCGGAGCGAGGAACCAAGTGCTCCGAAGATCCTAGGATTTCACGGAGCTAGTGGATTGTCGAACAGGCTCTTAAGAGCATCTCCAATAGATTATGCAAATTTGGAGCTGCAAAACTAGGAGACGTAAAATTTACATCATAAAAAAACATTT